TTGTTAATGCACCAAATGCATAATACAGAAGTGCATGAGAGATCGTATACCAGCTATTTCAACGATCTAACTTATCCTCTGCCCCAGAGACACAAACTTAGCAACCGTAGAGGAGACTAATATTGTCCAAGAGTCTTCTATCAAAGGTTCAATTTGGAATGCACAAGTTTTCTTGCTGTATTTGGAAAATAAATTTTAACTAATGATAATATAAAATTTTCAATATTTGCATTTTAAATATATAAGGCACATTTTTAAATATCAAACCACTCATTCACACCCACACTCAAGTGAATAGTCTATGTAAAAAAGACGAACATAAAGGTAGAGAAAAAAGGTAAGATGAGGTGAGTACTGTGGAAGTGGTGGAATATGGCATACAGTGAGGTCTTGGTGACTTGAAGTCAGAAGTGAATTGATTATTTATAGACATTTCTGCCGCATGAGTATACGTTGCGCAGGGTGCAACACGAAGAGGTTTGTCGGTCGAGCACTCCTGTCTACAACTTGCAAGTTGCTAATTGAATTTGTAAATAACTAATCGAGTAAAAGACTTAAATCTAAAATTTCTACTTTGTAAAAGCATAAGAAACAATGCACTGTCTTTGTTCGGTTGAGGAATTCAACACACTTCCAACAAGCCATGTGCTCAAATTTCTATTCGTTGGTGATACTGGACACAGACCGTGTTGGCAGACTGTGTTGACTCAGGGGTAATGGTTATGACTATTTAGAAATCTCATAATTCTCAAAATGGCCAGTCCATCATTAACATTTCCCTCTAGTCGATAGTGGTGCAATTTGATTGAGTTATTAAATGAGACGGAGTTTCGAAAATCAATTCAATACCTTCTTTGTCTGAATGATCAGAGCGTTTCGCGCTTTCAAGTTAGGTGTTATGATGTTAACTTGACCCAATAAATTTTATGATTGCTGTTCTGGTCAATAAGCTAATAAAAACGCAAAATACACGCTCGTAAAGAAATATATTTTGCTGTTTGTAACTTTGAAAGTATTGCATGAAAGAAAATCGCATCCAAAGAACACTTCTTACATCTTTTAGACCAAATTTCCCAAAACTTTCGTATCGTTTGGATGTGTATCCTCCTACAAAGGTGATGTGACTCCCCCTCCGAGAGGCTCAAGTTGAATTCAGGGGTCTAATTTGAATTACAGGATAACGAATGCTGTATTTGTTACAGAAGAAATTGGTCGGCCCCTTGCCACACACTAATAAGCGATTGTCAGCGCATTCTGAACGACGCCAATCCCTGATCACGTTTGGCCTCCGAATTCTCTGTGGAGATGGTTATGACTATTTGAAAATATCATAATTCTCAAAATTTCCAGTCCATCATTAACATTTCTCTCTAGTCGAAAGTGGTGCAATTTGATGGAGTTAATAATTATGCTGTACTTTCGAATATCTAATTTACAATTTCTTTGACAGTGTGATTAGAATAATATACACGCATTGTTAACATTAAAGCTGGAAAAATTGAACTAGATTTGACCCCAATAATTTTTTTTTATTTTTGTATTGGTGAAGAAGGCAAAATAGACTTAAAGTTCGCGTTCCTGAAGAAATGCATCAAGCTGTTCGCATCTTTAAAATTATTGCGTGAAATAACAATAGTAAGAAATGAAATGAATCGACCGAAAATTGGTGAATTGGAGATTATGCTCGTTGGTGGTTCTTAGGTCAAAAGGTGGTGATATAATACCAGTTGTTTCTCCCTGTAGACAAGTTTGTAAATATTTATTTAGATTTCTTAAGCGAGAGTCGATGAAACAAATTGTCTTACTTTCTTTTAACACAGTTGAAATAAAGTTGACTTCGGGCTTCACAGAGTGAAGAAGAACCACCACATAGATCATATGTAATATTTGGAGTTAAACAAATGGATGCATTTTTAAATATTCCTCTAAGCATCGATATGGAACGACAGGTTTGCATAACCTAACGTGGAGTACATCCAACAAGACGGCTATGCCACTGGCATTGATGGCTCACAACTAAAATTATTAATTCAATGATGCAATAATGTATGTATGCATCAATCCTTCTTTGCCTACAACCCACCTACCCCCCCCCCATCCATCAAACCCCAAGTTTATTTGGTTTCTTCACTTACCTTACCTCGGAATGATTAGACTCTAATCGATTTCTTTATTACTAATCAATTCTATTGTCACCAATATTTGGTTCCTGCAAAAGTCAACAAGTCACTCCTCTGGCATCTCATTAAATTATCTCCTGCTGAACATGGTAGCTCGTGAAGGGATAAAGTTAGGCAGGAAATATTGCATCCCGGTGCACCAATCACAGGCAAACGCATTACATTGCGTTAGCCTATTAGGATAGACAAGAGTTTGCGTTTGGCTAAATGCGGTTGGTGGGAAATATAGGCGTTTTATCCTCTTGTAGCTCAAGTCCCTCACATCTCTTCTAAGAAAAAAAGAAAGTCATGTATGTGCTTGCAAGTGAAATATGACCATGGCTGTGATTTCTAGTAACCACTAATATCATGGAGAGATGAAATGAATGAGTACATGGTAGAACTTTGCGTCTTAATTAAGTTTTTAGGATTTATGGCAGTTGACAATTGAAGATGACCATGTTCTGTCGCCCCTATAATGCACATCATTTTAATTGAATTTAATGAGACTTTCAAAAATGGTATGTAGTCAAAAGAATTTAAGCATTTCAATAATTTATTACAAGGCGTAATTTTAATTTGAAAGTCGATTTGTTGAGGATCGTTGGCACTAAAAATGCCCCCTACTAATTATAGACGAATACGTGATGGCAAAGCGAGTATTCAGTACCCAGAAACTAAGTATATGCCGCAGTGGTTATTTCTGATTAAGAAACACTCCATTTTCCATCATTCACTTCGAAAGTGGACATCCATCACATCTACTTTCCAGTTTGTTTCAGAAGGGTCTTCAACATGGCTAAATATGGGAATTGAGTATTGCGAGTTAAGCCCACTAGTAAAGTAGAAATTAGGAAATACCATAGCACAAACATTTCCAGGTCACTATTCAAGTCGAGGTATCAGACAGCAGTTCCAACTCTAAAGTACCCTCAAATATCTCAGTATTTTCCAATAACTCTCAACTTGAGAACGTTTCCGTGGTAAATGAATTCTGGAATTTTAATTTCAAAGGCCAAATCTTAATGTTTCTAACGAAAATCAATAAAGTAGTGAAAAATAGGAATGAAATTTATTTAATGCATTTGATATTACACTTTAGACATTAGTTTTGTGGTTCAAATAAAATGAAGATAGACATCACTATCAAAGGGGGGTATTTCACAGTCAACGAGGTAGATGGAAGATCATTAAGGACGATAGTAAAAACGCACTTTTCCAGGTGGACCCCCCTTTAAAATAGAAATATGTACGGGAGGTCTAGTTTGATCCTCCGCATGGTCAGACTTACACGTCGGTTTGTTACATACACGCATGATGGCGCAAGGCTTCTCATGTTTGCATTCCATGGGCGTTGATAGAATTGGCTCACTTTCATGCGCAACTCGGATAATCTACAGAAGTGGTCAGCAAAATCAAGCACTTATGCAACATTAATGCATAATTATTATAGAAAGAACTAACTTACCGAGGTCGTAGAATGCGTTGAAGGGGTGCAGCGAGTAGTCGAACCTGCGTTATTGTGAACGTAAGGACTTGCACATACAGGATCATAGGGAATCGTTATCAAACCATCTGTCATGACAGTAGGCGGCTGCATTATAGATGGTATGGTGCAATGACTATTAGAATTCGGTTCAAGTAAGTTTAAGAGGGATAGGGCCATAGTAATATCATCGACACCGTGTTCCCCGAACAAAGGCTTTAGTATGTTATTGACGAACAAACACAAAAGTAAGTCACGAAGATCGCAATAAGCAATTCCCCTCGCCTCGAGGAGCTAAAACGAACAAAAATAAAGTAAATTTAAACACTTGCACGAATAACCTACATTGACGCCAAGAAAGATTGGTTCTCTATCTTCGTATACTAAACGGCACCTAATTTTCCTCTCGCGGTAATGCCTGTCCAGTTTACAAAGGATTTCCAACAAAGTCCACGGTAGTGGAGCTAGCAAAGTATCTAAGGAGAAATAATGAGAAGCGTGATGAGGCATTGCTACTCACTTCGACACAGTTGCAGCGTTTTTTTACAACCTATTTATATGCGTGCTGCTTACATTCCTTGTCTCTGATTGGTTGTCTCACCATCTGCAAATTCTATTGGTTAATGAATGAGATGATTATGCAAAGTTGATGTGCTCTACCAATGGATATTTCACGACCTAACAGGGAATAATCTTTTGAGAATTTTCAACTATGGTCGATGTTATGCATTCCATACTTCTCTTTTGAAATTCTTGCTTTGAGTGTAAGGGTTTTCTACCTAAAGCATTAGCACTGCCTAGAAAAATCATCCTTTAAAACCAGATTGATAGAGAAAAATTTAGCAGATTAAGGTTAAGAAAGAAATTTGTTTATATCCGAATTGCAAACAGTCGAAAGGTGTTACGTTAAGAGGAAAGTGNTATCTTTGCTCGGTTGATGAATTCAACCCACTTCTTGCCAGCCTTCTGCACAAATTTTCTATTCGTTGGTGATACTGAACACAGACCGTGTTGGCAGACTGTGTTGACTCAGGAGTAATGGTTATGACCATTTAAAAATCTCATGAAGCTCTCAAAATCATTCAGAAACTGAAACACTATTGGCAGGCACGTTTTCCTACGGCAACACGCCATCCGCAGTTAGGAAAATCATGCGCTCTCATCTCTCATGACTGAATTAATGAGGTCAATATCATCTCATTTTTAAAGAGTCGGAAATGACAACAATTCGGTCATTCTTGTTACACGAAAGCATAAATTCGAAACTCACTTTGCTAATATTGATTCATGTTGAGGTCAAATCGAATAACTTAAATCACTTGAAGTGGATCTCACCTAATTATAAGGTCAACTTTAAGGATACTGCACGTATATTATTCAAGCTAATTTAAAAAATCTATTTTCGCAAAATGCCATTTTCCACTACGCTCTAAGGTGTTGACACGAGTTTTACGACATATTTCCTGAAGGTCTTTGCAGACGTATAATTAATTAATTTTCTGCAGATGATGGTGTCTATGGGCAAATCCTTCGCACGGCTAAACTTTAGTGGGCGCATAGTTCCCCAGCACTCCTACATTTTCCACCCTCGTCAAGTTCTCAACCAGAGTCGATGTATATATGGGGCTCAGAGCAGCGTTTTCTGGTGATGAAACATGAGTTCTGGCCAAATACTTCTTGAATGTCTGTTGGGTCGTGATACACTTTTCAATGCTTCCCCTTCCCATAAGTTGTAAGGGCTAATGATAAATATCATAAAACCTGCCATTTGAAATAAATAAAAATCCTGTTACTCAATAATTATTAAGCCTTCCAACACAAAAATGGGGTCCCAGAGGAGAAACAAGAATTTCCTTTCATTAGACACAACCAATCATCCTACTAGGTGTGCTTCAATTGGGAATTGAAACTGTGGCCTCTCTCTTCGTCGCACCACTTTGATTGCCTTTGATTCTTAAATGCATGATCAGTCGAATTCAAGAGGCATAACGCTTCCGGAATATGCAAGTCAAATGAACCGAAGTACACTACCATTACGTCAATTCAAGCCAGGAATTCCTCCATGAACAATCATCCAACAGACATTCAGAGCAGTCGGGATCTTTGGAGTCCGAATCAGTGATTGTTATTGTTACGAGCGTTGAAGATGCTGTTTATGTCAGCTATCGAGAAGTCCAAGTAGGGCAGGCAGATGGTCAACAACTAGTCGAACTTCTTCCACTTCCAAAAGAAGACATAGAACGCCTAGAAGCTAGACTGCAGTCTGTCGAAGAGGAGAAATAACTTGTAAGGAACACAAAAAGTAAAGTAAAAATTGGGAAATACCATTGCTCAAACATTTCCCAGGTCACGATCCTTGTCGCGGTATCAGAGAGGAGTTCCGACTTTAAAGCACCCTCTAATACCTCAGTTTTTTTCAATAACTCTCAACTTGAGAACTTGTTCGTGATGAATGCCTTCTGGAATTTCAATTTCGAATGGCGCAACTCAGTGTAACCAGCTTATTACATTAGGGTAGTGAGTAATTGGAAGTATGTAAAGTCGCCATCAATAGAATTTCTTTAATACACTTTTTATTACACATTAGACATTAGTTTTGTGCTTCAAATAAAATGCTGATGGGCATCATATTCATAGGGTGTTTCACGGTCAATGAGGAAGATGGAAGATCATTGTGGATGAATGAAAAAACACCTTTCTCCAAATGGACACTCCATTCCAAGAGATATGTATCGGCAAAGTCTCGTTCGATACCGTGGATGGGCAGACACGGATCTCAGCTCGGCATATCCATGCGCGAAAGTGCACGATTTTCCTTCAAAACATAATTTTCCACTCATGAAACACGCGCACAATTTGGTCTTGAATAGAATTGACCTAGTCCTATCCGCCACTCTAGGAATCTACAAAAGTGGTAAACAATATCAAGCACTCATGCAGCATTGATGCAAATTTACTTAACTGTGAAAGGTTAGTCACTTACCCGGTATATACCATCCGTTGTAATGATGTAGCGAGTACGCGAATTGGCAGAATTGTGAAGGAGAGGACGTGTAGGTACAGTTCCATGGGGAATAGATGCTGCAGCATTTGTCCCTACATTAGTCCACTGTGTATTCATCGAGTTGTTGGCTAGTGAATCACAATGTAAATTCGAATTCGGTACAAGTAATTTAAAGAAAGCTAGACCTTTATTCATAACAGCGGCATCGTTTTTCCCGTACCAATTCATTAAACATTGAAAGATATTCATACACAAAAGTAGTTCATGGAGATTGTAACAACAAAACGCAATGGCCATGTCAACCTATAACAAACGAACAAGGCGAATTTAAACACTTGTATAATTAACTTACTTTGATGCCAAGAAAGAATACTGTTCCATTGCTATAGGTAAGAATACAATGAATGCTCCTTTCGAGAAAATACCGGTCCAGTACACAAATGATTTCATTCAAAGTAAAGGGCAGTTTAGCTAGCAAACAATTTAAGGGAATATCTGTTGCGAAGTTGCGAGACATTGGTACTCACTTTGACTCAGTTGGAGTTCAGAAATCCTTTTATATGCGTGTTGCTTACATGCCTTGTCTCTTATTGGTTGTCTCAAACTCCACAAATTCTATTGGTTAATGAATGAGATGATTATACAAAGTTATGGGTTTCTACCAATGGATATTTCCCGATTTAACAATGAAAATAATCAGCCAATTTGCAAATATGATCAATTTTATGTATTCCATACTTCTATTTCCAAATCCTCGAATTGAGTTTAAGAGTTGTCGTCGAAATTGACAACTCTAATTTTAAACCATATTGATAAAAGAATCGTCACCAGGTAAAGATCAAAAAGAATTATTTTAAGGCGAATTGCATTCACGCAAAAGCGTTTTACTAAAGCGGAAACGTGTAGGGAGGAACCAAATTGGGAGTATAGGTAAGAGAGTATATTATCCCTGCCTTATGGTATTATTGAAAGAATATACTCGTTGTCTTTTGCAACCACATGACAACCACATACAATTTTTTATTTGTGCTAAATTGCAGTCTTATTATGGTAGTTATCATTAGTCCATTAGTTTAGGCTGAACTTCACTGAGGTGAGGAACACCAAAGCCACAAATAGCAGAGGGAGTGGGGAGGGGATGGGTTGGGAGAGGGGGGAGGGAAACAAATGATTGAATGGCAGATGTAAAGTGGAGACAGACAAAAGAGAAGAGAAAATTGAAAGTTGAGATGGGAACTGTGGGAGTGGTGGAGTAGGGCATACAGTGAGATATCGGTGGTTTGAAGTCAGAAGTGAATGGACTGTTTGTAGACATTTCTGCTTCACGAGTTTACGTCGCCCAGTGTGCAACACGAAGAGGTATGTCTGTCGCGCACTCCTGTCTACAACTCGCATGTTCCAAACTGAATTTCACAAGGTATTATCGTGTATGAGACTTAAAGATACAACTTTTACTTTGTAAAGGCTGAAGTGACAATGCACTGTCTTTATTCGGTTGTTGAATTCAATCCACATCCATCAAGCCATGTGCTCACATTTTCCAGGCTTTGGTGATACTGAACACAGACCGTGTTGGCACTGTGGCGATGGTTGACTGTTTAGAAATATCATAATTCTCAAAATGGCCAGTCCATCATTAACATTTCTCTCTACTCGAAAGTGGTGCAATTTGATGCATTTATTAATTATGCTGTACTTTAGAAAATCCAATTTACGATTTCTTTGAGAGCGTGATTAAAATGATATACACGCATTGTTAACCTTAAGGTGAGATAAATGGAACTAAATTTGGCCCCAATAAAAGTTTTATGTTGTTTAATTAGTTAAGAAGGTAAATTAGACTTAAAGGACGCGTTTCTGAAGAAATTCATTAAGCTGATCGCATCTTTAAAATTATTGCTTGAAATAACAATAGGACGAAATGAAATGAATTGACCGAAAATTGGTGAACTGGAGATACGGCTCGTTTGTGGTTCTTAGGTCACAAGGAAGTGATATAATACTAGTTGTTTCTCCCCGAAGACCTGTTTGTAAATATTTAATTGAGATTTCTAAGGCCATTGTCAATGAAACAATTTTCCTTAATTTCTTCTAACACCGTTGAAACTGGTGGTAGAGTTTGAATGGAAGAGCTGTTGCAGATTAGTGCAAGGTGTTTACGAATTATTTGCATCAAATGGCAGGCGTGATGGTCGTTACTATCGGAAATTAAGTTGAATTCGGACTTCATAGAGTGAAAAAGAACTACCACATATATCCTAAGTAATATTTGGAGGTAACTAAATGGAAGCTTTTTCAAATATTCCTCTAAGCATCGATATGGAAAGACAGGTTCGCATAACCTAACATGAAGTACATCCATCCTTCTTTGCCTACAACCCGCCCCTCCCCGCCCATCCAACCCAATTTGGTTTCTTTACTTAACTTACCTCGGAATGATTAAACTCTAATCGATTTCTTTATTACCAATCAATTCTATTGTCACCAATATTTGGTTCCTGCAAAAGTCAACAAGTCACTCCTCTGGCGTCTCATTTAATTATCTCCTGCTGAACATGGTAGCTCGTGAAGGGATAAAGTTAGGCAGGAAATATTGCATCCCGGTGCACCAATCACAGGCAAACGCATTACATTGCGTTAGCCTATTAGGATAGACAAGAGTTTGCGTTTCGCTAAATGCGGTTGGTGGTAAATATAGGCGTTTTATCCTCTTGTAGCCCAAATCCCTCACATCTCTTCTAAGAAAATATGAAAATCATGTATGTGCTAGCAAGGGAAATATGCAATCGAATGTATTATATGCATTTTATAGTATGCTTTGACATTAGTTTTGTGCTTCAAATAAAATGCAGATAGACATCACATTCATGGGGTGTTTCACAGTCAACGAGGTATGTGGAAGATCATTGTGGGCGAATGGTAAAACACCCTTTTCCAGGTGGACCTCCTCTCCAAAAGAACTATATACGCCAGGTCTAGTTTGATCCTCCGGAACATAATCAATTCACTAATACACTGGCCATGATAATATTACACTTATATTGATGCGACTTGCATGTATTCGATTTGGTCTGTATAATGGTTCCAACTGCTTATTACACCACACAATAAAAGGTAACTTGAATTCATAAAGTTGAACAATTTTGAATTTCAAAATAACTCGGGTGGTTAGTCTGGTCAAGCAAATGATAAATTTATTTGCCCATTGAAATATCTAATACATCACACGATGGCTGAATGATTAGAGTGAAATCGCTGAAATTTTCAAATAAAGCGCATTCGAGTGCTCATGCCTTCCTATGACAGTAGGATCGGCTCATGGCATTGTGAACGGAATTCGTTATTTACGAGTGTTCCCCCAGTTTCGTGACTCACCATTGAATGTCTCATGTTATGAAAGGACAAGTGGCCCTTAATTAAGGGATTCCGTGGCATGAAGTAAACTTTCCCATTTGTCATGACTGGATTTATGAGGTCAATATCATTTAATTTTTAAAGAGTCGAAATGGACAACAATTCGGTCATTCTTGTCACACGAAAGCATAAATTCGAAACTCTGTTTGCTACTTTTGATTCATGTTGAGGTCAAAGCGAATAACTTAAATGATCTAATGTGGAACTCACCTGATTATAAGGTCAAATTTAAGGATACTGCACGTATATTATTCAAACTAATTTTAAAATTCTTTTTTCGCAAAGTGCCATTTTTTACTACACTTTAGGGTTTTGACACGAATTTTGCGACATATTTCCTGAAGGTCTTTGCAGAGGCGTAAGTTATTGATTTTCTGCAGATGATGATGCCGATGGCCAAATACTTCACACGATTCAACTTTGATGAACGCCATGGTATGGGAAACGGTAAATAGACATTGAACGGGGTAATATGACCAAAGAATCAGGAGCTCCACTCCATGTGGCGTTGCCCATGCTCTCCTAATGAGTACACTCTGCAAAGTGTAGTAAAGCTTACTTAAGTAGAGCACCAGAACCACCAAGAAGACTGTTATGGTTAGTCTCGCCTTCTCTCTCCTCCGTCGATTTGCCGAAATCAAGGTATAGTGCTTCCTTGCCTTCAGGGCTATTAGTAAATGTTTGATAGAGTTTGGCCTTTTGAAAACAACAAACTGATTATTTGACTCATTACTTAATTGATATAAGTAGCGAAGGAGGAAATGAAAAACCTTAAGTGAAGTCATTGTGCACGAATAATGGTGAATGACCTTTAGGGAAGATCTTGAAGGACAACCTTCATCACTATCCAAAGAATGAATGGCATTGTAATGCGATGAAGGTCATCGAGTGCCTTTTGACCTTAAAAGAACAAATGAAAGTTGAAGGTCAATTAAATCATGTAGGAAGTGTCGAAAGCGTAGACAATTAAAGTCACCTGCTCTCTGGAGCTGAGGTGTGGCCTTGGGATCTAGTGTTAGAAGGATCAGACGCCCAATTCGGGAATTAACTGCAGCTTCCGAGGGAGATAAGAAACCTTTGCCTTCTTAATGCCCTGCCGCCTTACCAATATTTTTAATCGTTGCAAGTATTTGAAGTGAACATCATATGAGTCTACTCAGCGGTTCAACTTGAAAGCTGCTTGGTCACTTACAGTAATCAAGGTGTAGACTAGTCGACAGTAATTGGACTAATTATTAATTACGAAGATAATACATGTTAAGTTGTAAGGTATTGCCTATAAGTAGAGTTTAAGGCCAATGCTAATTAAGATCTGTGCAAAGATAAGATGTTGTAAAGGTTAAATACAATAAGGCAAGCAAGATGATAAAGGCAAATGTTTTGGCAAAAAGCTCCAGACAGTTAGATAGCATTACTGTGAAGTAGATTCCAAGAATATGTGGAAGTTCAACCAATTCCACTTCTGAAAAAACACTACTTTACAATTCGTAATCGTGCGAAAAGCTTTTATTGGAGTGATGGGAAGAGGTGCAACCTCATCACAAGCGACACCTGTAATGGAAGTTAATTTAGCACTATGATGGGTGAGAATACTATTTGAATGATTTCTCACCGACAGAAGAGGCATCCTACGTCAATAGAGGACGTTTGACTAGGGCAAAATAAGCAGATGGGAGATTGCAATGCTGCCTACGACTTTGGCTTAAAAAAATCACACGGTTATACTGAGATAGCTTTTGAAATCTTACAATCTAAATCGTTATTTGGGGAGTATGATAATCAAATGATTGTCTGAGACAGTGGAAGCATTTAGCATCAAGATTACTTGTCATTGACAGAAATCGGAAATTAGTTGTTTTAGTAGCTGGTTTCCTTCTTTGGAGAAACTGCATCTTGTTGAACGCGTCATCGCATGCCTGAACGCCAGGATTGGGAGGTGCGGCCGTACAACTCTGTGTGCAGCCACCGCATAAACAGTGGCCAATCATTAGGCTCTGTTTAACCTAATCCCCACCGCATAAACAGTGGCCAATCATTAGGCTCTGTCCGTTTTGACTAATCCGCTATGCTGATCATCATTAAGCTCCTTTAGCGTACACTTTACTCACAATAACCCTAATGAATAAACGTGTTCCGTGTTATACGTCTCATTCATCTATAGCTGGGCTATATCTTAGCTAGTTCTGGGAGCCTAGCTAGATGTAGGAGAATCTGCAACAGAGATTTCTGAGTCAGTCAGGCTTTACTAGTGTAGCAATCCGCTACAATCCTGCTTTTTTATATTCAACAAAGAATTATTCCATACTTGTAATTAAGTTCTTTCAAACGCAACTAGTAGACATGTTTCTAAAGATTAATATTTAATCCGAAACCTTGCGATTTTTATAACCAAACTTAAAGGTTGCCATATTAAGTGCCTCATTGCCCATCAAGTGACCGTCCATTTATAATTCAAACTAATAGTTGGCGCTTACAAAGACAATTACAGGCTTTTTTCACGGGAAATATAAAACCATTAAATGCTCGAAAATAATTCAAAACAGAATAAACATAGAGAATACTAATAGCTATTGGAAAGACATTTGTAGGGCTGTTGAACTTTAGGCAATATTTTGTAAGAGATGGGCTCGCGAATTTTCCGTAGCATTTTAAACCAAGAGAAATATGACGTCTTTAAAACAATTCGCCTCAGTAAATCTTCTCTATTAGAGAGGTTAATCATTTTACGACAGAGCATATTGTATGTGGAACACATCTGCGTGACCGACTGGAAAAGCAAGGATTTATTGGAAGTCTTCTGTTGGCAGCTTGGCCGTGTCCATCGAAACTTGGCCTGTGCAATGAAACCGCAACGCATCTTCCGGTGAATTTGAATACATGTTCTATCAGCAAGATCCACTTTGACGTTTGCAATCAATAAAAGCAAAGGCAACCAATACATCAATAAGGCGAAAGTTACTCTCTATAGACTTTAAAATTTAGAAGAGGGGAGGCTTTCTTTCCTTTTCTAATTCTATGAAATCGATTTTTCCTCTCCTACGTTTTAATTATATGAGATGGAGGTGGAGAATAAAGGCAGAGAATCACAAGTGTCCACCAAGTTTTGTCCCTTGAATTTAAATTTTACTATTGAGGGTATATTCCAATACTCCACATTCCAATGCCCATATGCTCGAAGTTCAAATTTTGCATCCAAAGTTTCTGAAAGATTTAATCTTCGTAATACGGATTATCAAGAGTCTATCGACCACCTGGTTAATGTATGCTCCTGGTCAACGGCGAAAGATTGATCCTTATTCTTGTATTCGAAACACTGGCACGATGACAAAATCTAAAATATTAGCCACAATTTAGCCTTCTGTGAGTATTGCAATGATCCATTACACTGAAAAAAGCCAGATTGAAACGTTTTCGCTCACTCTGACTTTATAATTGGCATTACATTGCAAAGATTTTACCAGACTTGGACGAGTCTCAAGTGGCATGATACTCGAGAATAACATAGATAACTCTCAACTCAAATTGCAGGTATTCACCTTGTATATACTACCGGCAATTTTGATTAGTACTGCTAACCAAACCTCTCCGAGAAATCTTTCTCGCTATTATTGATTCCTGTACTTACAAAGCTGAAACTAATTTGAATGTTTTACATAATCTTTTAGCTAATCTTTATATTTGAATGCATCAATGTCAGAATAGACATTAAGCAGGGTCGATATTCTAGATTGTTTATATCCTAAATTTCAGTTATTACTTGAAAGTGCAAATTCCCATTTTTTATAAATTGCAATTAAGTTAGTAATTGAAGCACATTGTAGAGTGAATAAATCTCTAAGAGCTGCTCAAAGGAATCTTGAATATCCGCTTGTTTTTTTCCAACTAAGCTATGAACTATTTTTTTCGAAATTAAAGGAAAACCTTCATAGTAGATGGAGGTGTGGATTTTAGGAAGTTGGATCATCTTACTGTGAAATTTTCCATAGTCACCAAAAGCAGAGGTTATCAATTCGATTGTCTAGTAGAATCTCCCATTTTCTGGCCCAATATTGAGCAGATGGAGGGTGTTGCAAGAGGAAGACTAGGCTATGCACCAAGAATACTCAAGACACACCCTTCACATTTCATTTACTGTGATATTATCAGTGATTTCCTCAAAGACAATTCACGATTATTTAGGGGATTGAAGTTTGCTGAACTCACAATGAATAATTATCAAGAAGATAAAAGTATAAATATAAATAAATAAATAAATATATATATATATGGAACTGGAAGATACTCTCAGACTTCGAGTTGTAATTTTTCATCTGGATGGGGTGTGCGATAGACTTACCTCCACGTGGTGCACCCTGGGCAACGTATATTCATAAGACAAAAAAGTCTATTAACTGGCAGTTGATTTCTGACTTCAAACTACCACCACCTCACTCTATACCATATTCGACTATTTCCACAGTACTCTTCTTACCTTTTTTCTACCTTTGTGTTTGTCTCTTACATCTTTGAAACACTCTTCTGTCCCCCCCCCCTCTCGACTTTTTTTCAATTTCATGTTCCTCTCCCTCTGTGAAGCCTGAAGTCAACTAAAGGGCTAATGATAACCATCAAGACGCCTCCCATTTGATATAAATAAATAAATAAATGAATGAATAAATAAATTTTTCATCTAGATTTAGGTAATATGTCATTCCTTGTACTAACTTAGCGTTGTATTTGAGGGTATTGCTGATAATGCACCAACCCAATTGGATTTATTTTTTAAAATTTGAGGTCACTAATTCCGTTGATCTGCACCGTAAAAATATCAACTGCTCTCTCACCCTCTCTCGTGTCAACGGGGAGGCACATTACACTGTGTGCATTCATGGAGGTGGAGGCGTTGAACTCCTCGTGGGCAGGAGCAGCATTATAAATGTCTTGAAGTTGCTAGTATTTCACCAGCGCCAGCATATTCTATTACTGAGTCGAAGATTGTTTCACCTACACGACAACCATACCTCCACAGCAATGCGTTGATGTGTGTGTGTGTGTGTGTGCTGTCACGTGGTGGGCACAGATTGCCCAAAGGTGGCTACACAAATGTATACATGAGAGGAGTGAATTAGCCGAGTTTTTTTCAAGGAAAATAAGAAATTTGTACAATGCACTCCGTGGCATTTTAAATATCACCTGTTTGTTAAAATAATGAGTACATAATAAAAGGACAACAAGTAGGGCGTTTTTTCCTCCTACAAATGTAGGACAAGGGTATTTGTGGATATTGAACATTACTTGAATTGTTTGCTCTACTGTAATCAGAGTCATATGAGCTTTCGAGGTAATCAGACCTCCTAAGCAACTCAGGGCGTACTTCTTCTTCTGTTTTATATACTTCTTTTCTAACAGTCAGGTGATACTTCAAATACGGGGTGTACGATAGACTTACCTCCACGGGGTTCACCCTGGGCAACTCATACGAAAAAAAGTCTATCAATCGGGAGTTGACTTCTGACTTCAAAATACCATCAACTGATTGTATGTCATATTCGACTACTTTCACAATACTCACCTCACCTTTTTTTTACCTTTTCTAACTTCGTCTTTGAAGCACTCTTCTGTTCCCAACCCCTCTCGAATTTTTTTTCAATTTGGTGTCCCTTTCCCCCTGTGAAGCCTGAAGTCAACTATGAGGCTAATGATAACCATCAAAACGCCTGCCATTGGATACGAATAAATAAATAATATTTTTAATACCCTATGTATAAAATTGTGTAGTAATGCTATGGCGTGCATTGTACAGTTGTTTTTATTTCCCCTGAATAAAGAGTATTTGGATTATTTGTTTCTTTGAATCTACAATTGCAGTTGTATATATTCCTTTACCCTTTCGAGTAGTGTCATGGTATAACACTGGGTTGTGGCGGGTTCCGTCATGTCGTTGATTGGTTATTTGATAAGCAAAATATATTTGGAACCTTTCCAAGTCCGTCTTAAGTTTACTCATTTGTGATTAGAAACTCAATTTAAGATCCCGGGGAGCGCTTATAGGTTTGTGGTTCATAATCGCGTGAAGATTGCCACTGCGTTCTTCTACACAATATTACAATATGGGGTTGCTGACAATAGGTGAAATTACTTCGTGGGTGCAGTCGATGTAAATTTTTCGAGCATCACGCCTGAATGTTGGGCAATGCGTTTAGTCAGTTGGTAATGCCAGTCGTCACGGATTGAGATTTCAAGATGATTTGGGGAATACATATTGGGTTATTGAAGCAAACACTTAAGTACATATAAATAAATATTAGAATAATTGGCTTTGTTTTGATAAGGCGACAGGGCATTAAGAAGAAAAAGGTTTCTTGGCTCCCTCGGAAGCTGCAGTTAATTCCCGAATCGAGCGTCCAATCCTTCTAACACTTGATCCCAAGGCCACACTTCAGCTCCAGAGAGCAGGTGACTTTAATTGCCTACGCTATCTACACTTCCTACATGATTTAATTGACCTTCAGCTTTACTTTGTTCTTTTTAGGTCAAAAGGCACTCGATGAACATCATCGCATTAAAATGCCATTCATTATTCTGAGAGTGAAGAAGGTTGTCTTTCTAGATCTTCCCTCAAGGTCATTCATCATTATTCATGCACAAAGACTTCACTTCAGGTTGGTTATTTTCTCCTTCACTACTTATATCACTTAAGTAACGAGTCACAATAATTAGTTTGTTGTTTCATAAGACCAAACTCTACCAAATATTTACTAATAGCCCTGAAGGCAAGGAAGCACTATGCCTTGATTTTAGCAAATCGACGGAGAAGGGAGAAGGCGAGGCTAACCCTAACAGTCTTCTTGGTGGTTCTGGTTCAATAAAATAGCTTCTCTTATTTTGCTACCGCCTTTGTCTTGTCCTCAGCACTAAACATCCACTCCATGCGAATGGGCAGTGGAAGAGTACACCACTTCACATTATGGTCTAAATGATTATCTATTATCAGGATAGCTACTTGCTCTAAAGTAAGCAGTTTAGAAACCTTTCCTGTCTATAATATATATCAAGGGTTTGTGATTGTTAATCCATTCACTTGGCGTTTTCTTAATGGTAATTGGTTGAAAAGTACTTATTTACTTATTACTTTAAATTGTGCATAATATTTGCCTCAGATGCTTTCATTTGATGCTTGCCAGTGGTGCAATAATAAGAAGTATATAAGACCGACATTGCAGAAAACATTCGATGATATTGCTCAACATGGTTTGCAATAGAATCTGGATACCACCACCTGACTGAAATCAGCTTTGGAACTAGCTTTTCATCTGATCTTGTACTCTATTTAAGTAGACTTCACTTCACTTTGCACAGCGCTAGCTTACATAGCCGACAGGCAAAGGATAGAAGCCGTTGCTGAGTTTAGATTACATACCGGACACGATTGTTTGACAAAACACATTCACAGATTAAGAGTATACACTTAATCCACATGCTCCCTATGTAACCTACAGGAGGAAATAGAGAAGACCCGCCTGATTCGGTGTCCAGCTCTAAAGACAAGGACGGAAAGCCAGAGATACTGGGAAGCAAGAAGATAGCTAGTGAGCTGCTATTAATTAACTGCTATATATGTGCCCCCCCCCCTCCCCACCCTTGGGGGAAGCTGAAATCAAAGTTTAAGGACTAACGATAAATATCACAAAGCCTGTCATTTGAAATAAAAATAACACTGCAGGGCGCACTCTTTAGGAGAGCATGGGCAACGCCAAATGGAGTGAAGCTCCTGATGCTCTGGTCACCTTACCCCGTTCGATGCCGTTCATCAAAGTTGAATCGTGTGAACTATTTGCCCATCGGCATCATCATCTTCAGAAAATCTATTAATTATACCTCTGCAAAGACCTTCAGGAAATATGTCGCAAAATTCGTGTCAACATCCTAGAGTGTAGTGGATAATGGCATCTTGCGAAAATAGAATTTTTAAATTAGTTTAAATAATATACGTGCAGTATCCTTAAAGTTGACATTATAATTAGGTGAAATTCACTTCAGATCATTTAAGTTATTCGCTTTGACCTCAACATGAATCAATATTAGCAAAGTGAGTTTCGAATTTATGGGTTCGAGTAACAAGAATGACTGAATTGTTGTCTATTTCGCCTCTATAAAAATGAAATGATATTGACCTCATAAAATCAGCCATGACAAATGAGAACGTTTACCTCATGCCACGGAATCACTTAATTAAGGGCCACTTGTCCTTTCACAAAATGAGACATTCA